CCCCAAAACCCCAAAACCCCAAGCTTCCTAAGTTTTTCAGATTTGAATTTTATTAAAAAACGAAATATGTGCAAAATTAAGTATTAAAATAATTCTGAAATGAAATAGGCTAGAAACTCTAACTAGAAGCAAACCTCGACAGTGATAAAAAAGAACAGAAAAATATCAATATCTCATTTGGTCAGTCCTGAGTCCTCACCTTCTAGAGCCATAAACAGAGATCATAGTAAAGTCCAATAATATAAATTAGTTATCGAGCCTAATGTGAGTTAGTAGAACTTTAATATAATAGATGTCAATTATGATTTCTTGGATGAATGCAATGTCAATTATAGACTCATCAAGTCAAAGCACTCAATATTCATGAGTGATAAGAAGAGGAATAATAACAGCATGTTAGTAGCAAATAAATAAAGCCAAAACATCATTAAAACCTAAAAGGGTTGATATGATGAAGTTATGAAGGGTAGTTTTTACTTCAATAAGAGCAAAATACAGAAACTTTTGGAGTCAAATTAATAGACCAGTGCAAATGAGAGTGCTGAATTTTTGAGATAGTCGTAAACTAAACAGTTTCAAACTCAGAAGCCCAGTTTAAATAATTCGCCTTAACGACCTGATTCATCCTTTTTATCATCACCATAAAATCCAATTCAACTTGAAAAATCATTGTCCAATGCCCATTCATAGCTATTAAATGTGACTTAATATAGAAAGAATTATTAAAATTAAAACGAAAGACTTCATGAGCAGTCTTTACTAAACGGCAACCTAAACTTAAATAACTAAAGGAATCCTAGCTAAATCCTTATGCCAAGGGCTTCGATGACCCCAAGTGTAATTGATGAAAATAGATCTCGCTGAAACAGCAAGAGATTCTCCCAAGTTCAGAGTAAAAGTGGAAATTAGTCCTACTTGTCTGCCACTAAGGATTAAAAAGAAATTATTCTACCGATTCTTAATAAGATGAGGTTCCTGAAAACAAAGATTTAAGAAGATAGGAAACATAAAGAAAGTGGCGACATTCACTTATTTTTAGAATAGTCAGATATGTTCAGCCATCAGAATGCTGAGACAGCATTTAACATTCTTGAAAATCCAAATGTGATTATGAAAAGAGTTCATGAAATGTAGGCTGCCATTGACTAAAGACTTTATAAAAACAAAAATGCTGAGGCCTAGAGAGTTGAGCAATAGAACTACAAACTACTTTAGTAGTGTCTCTCTAACAACATAATTTAGGTCTCAAATGATTCAAAATACAATAAGTTTCTTAGTAAGAGATCAAGTGTCAATACTGATAGGCAGAGTGAAGGCAACAGAATGGGCTTAATGAAAAAGAAATCTAGTTTAGGAACAGGTAGTATTGTAGATGAACCAGTGAGTAAAACTAGAATAATAAATGGTAAGAAATCGTCAGTGGCTTTTCAAACATAAATTTCAGGCATCAACATAGAGAGGAAAGATAGTAACAGGATTAGTGAGGATATCTAATTGAAACTTAGCAGTCGGAGAACTATGGGCTTGCCACAAGAAGGGCAAGGATAAGATATAAAGATATCGGATATGAATTCCATCTAATGAAAAAATTCAAAGAAAAAACCATACTTATCTTCACTCAAGTACTCAGCTATGAATATGAGTAATGACTCAGGCAAAAAGTTTGTTGTTAAGGAAGTTGGCAAAAAGCTACTTAGAAGCATACTTGAAATCTCAAATTAAAGATCTCCTCAAAATGAAGATGACTAAGCTTTAAGATAAGAACATTAGGAGAAGCTGATAGCTGACTCTCCTAAGAAGTAAAAACGGTAATTTGATAGGAATGAAACTTTTTTGAGTTAAAAAAAGTCTATGAGTAAATCCTCAAATATCAACTTAAGGCCTCAATCAAAGTAATCTGTTGGTTTATCATCCTAAGCATTCTCCCCTAAATCTGTGCTATCAACTGAGAAGATATTTGATGGTCCAGAGAAGAAGGCTAAATTTTTTAATTGTGCAAAAGAGTTTAACAATCTTTCTTAAAAAGCAGATGCCTCTAAGAATGCCAATCTCGCCTTATTAAAAAATTTACAGGAGCAAAATGTAGTTCCAATACCTATTCTAACTAGACTAGATAAATAAGCTTTGAATCTAATGGGGTATTAGCTCAATGATGGTTTAGCTATTTCACTTGGCAAAACGCTCTAGCACATCCAAACCAAAGGCCTAAAGAAATAAATAAAGGAGGCTTATTTTGATAATAATGGACTAAAGGATTCAAGTTTAGCTGTTATTCTAAGAGGTCTTGTCGATCATTTGAGTCTTATCAGACTTTATTTATCAAATAATGAGCTAGGTGTAATGTCAATTGAACCATTGCTATTAATCCTGTCTAAAAATAAGCCTCAGTAAATTAAATTTTTATGTTTTTAATTTTTTAATTTAGTCACATTAATGACTTAGAATTACACAACATTACGACCTAGGGATACATCATCGAACAAGTTCTACTAAAAATAGTGTAGACTCCATATTTAAGAGTCCTAAGAATATCGAATATAAACTTGAGTGATTCTAAAACAATGAACAGTCTGATTCTCATCATTAAAAAGTGTGAAAATCTCAGAGAATTAGACCTTTAGTGGCTTCGTCTATTGCCTAATTGTAAGCCAGAATTTATGTATTTATTTCATCTGCATAGAATTATAACTGATCGGAAAAGAACTAGAACACAATACTTAACTCATTTCACTGAATCTTTCATGGAACGTCATTGATGATAATAATCCACATTCAGCTACCTTTATCGATCATTTGAGTAACTTTATTCATAATAACAAGCAGCTTATTCACTTGGATTTAACAGGAATGAGTCTTAAAAGGAATGTTGAAAAATTATTCAAGTCATTTAAATCTAGTAAATCTCTTCTCAGCATACATTTGTCTAGCAACACAATTCCTATATATCTGATAGAAAAACTGATAAAGACTCTAGATGTAATAGCACCTAAGAAATTCTTGCTAGATCACGACTTTCTATTAAATAATCAGTTTAAAAAGGAATTTCAACCAGAGAATAATGCTAAGCCATAAATTAAGCTGCTTGAAACAGAATAAGAATAAGATCTTGATTTGGATAGTTTTCAAATTATGCAGGAATCTAAAATAATTAACACCCATATAATGGACAAAATTAATATTCAAAAGTAAACTACTTCAAATAATCTAAAAGGGAATCATAATCTACTGTCTCATTTAGAAAAACCTTTGGAACTTAGTAGAATGATTGATCACTCTGAGCTTATTTGGAATATGGGATTAAGTTATGGATTTAGAAGTAATAATTCTAAATGCAATAGTATTTTCAGCTTGAACTACTCTTAAAATTGGAAAATTTGTGAACCAAATGAGTGCTGGATTTGCATGAAATATAAATATGTAGTTATATTCTACAAGCAAAATTAAGCAATTAATTAATTTCATCTGGTTAGCAAGGAAAGAAGTCAGTAAGTTGACAATAGAAATACTCAATTTCTGAAGACTGTCATTAACGAACAGATAAAGGGCCCTATAATTAGTGGGACATTTACGGACTGGAATTACACTTAAATGCTCCCTGTTCATCAATTTGCAATGCTTTTGGATCAGAAGTTCAAAAATAATTTGATTGAGTAATAAGACCCATTTGATGTGATGAAGATCTTGCAACTAGATGAGTCTATTGTAAGTGAATATAAATGTAGATGGAGATAAATGATTAGGTAAAATCTTAAGTATGAGTCGAATACAATATACATTAATTTTCCTGTTTAAAATGATGTGGAATATGACGATGCTATTGGATAAGATTTATATGTTTTTGCAGGATTTATGAAGCCAGGGAAGTAAACTATTCTGATAAGAGATATGGATTCGAATTGCTATTTTTCTAAATCCTTTGCAGTAGAGCTGAGAAGCCATGAAATAATTACTCGTAATTTACTTCATTATATATATTTATATAGATCACTAGCCAAAGGCCAAAGTGAAAAGGCCAAAACACAGATAATTTAGAAAAGAGTTTAGTGTATTTAAGGAATGGAAAGAAGATACAGTGTAATCTCTAAAGAAAATGTTTGATAATGATCTAAGCTGTTGGAAAGTACCCAGATTCGTTAAAAGCTAGGAAGATGTAAGACATGTTCGCCCCTTAATTTATCAATTAGATAAATTAATGTGTCCACTTTCTGAATGAAAATTACTCAGAAATCAAAAAGCTCTTTACATACTATGCATCGACTTCTTCATTCCCTACAATATCAATGATGGACTTCTCGAATCTATGCAATACTATGAATATCATGGATAAAAATATCAACGTGTCCACTTTAGATAGACTTTTCATCGCTACCAATGTTGAACTTGTTGATATGAGTGAAAACCCTGACAAGGAGTTATGTCGTTTTGAGATTCTAGAAATATTTGTTAGAATTGCAGGAGCTAAATATAAAGATACAGGGACTACTAAAACTTTCAGCGAAAGTCTTAAAATGTTACTTGAAAATCATATTCTTCCTCTATGTTAAACTTTAAATTGGCAGGAGTTTAGAGAGAAAGACCTTTGGACTCTTGATATAAATGATACTTTTGAAGCTAATCTAGAGCCTTTAAAAAAGGTACTAAAATTTTTAATGAAATTAAACACTATAGCTGTTCGGTTAATTTGGAAAAGTAAACAAAGGATTTTTGAATTAAAAAGAGTGCATAAACATGATCAAAGCAGCAGGTATTGAGATTGGGGAGAAAGATATAATCTTTTCATATGGAATGAGTAAGATGTCAGTCCTTAATGAATCAAATCAAGCGAGTAATCTTCAATAATTTATCTAATTTCATTTAGAACAATACAATAAGATGCAATTTGTAGAAATGCTAGAGTTCATCGCTAGACTTGGAGAGCAGATATTTAAAAACTAGCCAGATTTGATGCTTTAAGAAAAAATTGAAAATGTTATGGATTCTTTGCTAAGGTTAGTAGGAATGCAAAGAAAGCAGCCAGTAATTGCTGAATACTTGGAGTCTGACTCTAATTGAATTATTTTTATTTTAATCTTAATTTCATAATTTTAGTATTCAACACTTCATTAAGGGGTTTTGGGGTTTTGGGGTTTTGGGG